CCGGGGGCCCCGCGCTGGGCTCCCGGTGCCTGCTGGGCCTCGCGGCGGGACGGGCGGGTCTGCAGACCGGGGCCAAGCCCTGCATGATGTCATTCTGAGTCCCGCCGAATTGCGGGGAGCGGGTGGGCCGGCCGGTGTCAGCTGCAAGGCCCTTTACCGGGGAGGGAGCGAGTCTCCAAGCCACGGAGAGTGCGAGGCACAGCGCGGGACACACTTGTCGCTCGAGCCCAGTTTTGTTCAGATTTGCCGTCGGGCATTTCTTCTCTGCGTTCCGGGAAGCACCGAGGCCCGCAAGCGGTCTGCGCACCCGGGTAGGGTGCGGAGGCTGCGGGCCCATTGTTTTTTCTCTCTTGGGTTCCGGGCCGGCTCGGGGCAGTTTCTTCCTGTTCCACCCGAGAAGTTTTGGGCAGCTGGGCTTGATGCTACGAGACCGACGTGTATCAAAGCCACGCTGCCAGCAGCCCCTGGGGCAGAGGCAGGAACTGAGGCTCCATTTTATTGATTCCCCAGAGAGTAAGTGGCTGGGTCAGCCTGGGCCCTTGCTTATACCTGTGTGCCTGGGCCCTGGGCTTTGGGTTTTTTGCAGCCTGTTTGGAGGGAACCATGAGGTCCTGCCCTGTTCCCTCTTGCTAACCGTAGGCCCATCCAGAGCTGTTAGTGCTAGTGGTCAGTCTGAGGGTGCAGATGGCCACCAGGCTTCTGGCCCTTAGATAGTAGTCCCCAACTCTGGCACACAGGGACTGTATTCCTCAGGTCCCAGTGCCTCAGGAGGAGTTTTCAGGAAGTGTTTCTCTGGGAGTGACTGTCCCTAGGCCGTTTCCAAGTCCTCTGCCACTTCTTTCCTTGGCCTCCGTGGAGGAGCCCGCTCTTAAGTGAGGAAGGGACTCTGTACCCCTGCACTCCCGCATGCTTCATTTCCTCCTAGGCCACTTCTGATACTCCTTTGTACCCCGGTGCCCCACTTTCCACTCAGCCTCTGATTCATGAGGCCATGGAGCAGAACCAGCACATCCAAGGAAAAGAGAAAGGGTATGTTGCACCAAGATGTGGTCGTCACCAGGAACTGACCAGCTTTTAAAGCTGGCATTTCAGCCAGGCGTGGTGGTGCGTGCCTGGAATCCCAGCACGCTGGAGGCTGAGGCAGGCGGATCGTTGCGAGTTTGAGACCAGCTTGGGCTACAAAGTGAGCTCAAGGCTGGCCTGAACTGCAGAGTGAGACCCTGTCTCAAAAAGACAAAAAAAAATCTAGCATTTCAAATGTGAAGACTCAAAGGTGTGCGGTGAAAGAAATTCAGATCCTACCTGTGGACTTGTCAAATGGTATGACCTCTGTGTCCCTTAATTCTGTTAAATGGGGACAGTGAGAATGAGTGGGAAGTGGGTGGCAACACCCTGTGGATGACAAGGTTGTCATCTCAGTTCCCCCAGCTGTTCTGAGATGCTCTCCCCATTACGCAGTATTGGGTCACAGAGAATGTCCACAGATACCTTTTCTCCTGGAAGGGACACTTGGTGAACATGTGATAGAAGGGGGCCCATGCTGGGTGCTGGAGAAGCAGTCATGGTTCCTGTCATTGAGGAGTCTGGGGACGATTTTAAAGCCTGTGGTTTTTTTTGGTAGCTTGTCAATTTTTTTTCCCTCATGCTTTATTATGGTGGAAGACCTATGAATAGGGGTCTGGAATGACAGGACAAGACTGAATTCCAGGTCCTTTTGTGACTGATGTATTGCTGGGTTTAGAGACTTTAAAAATTCACTTTAATTGGCATTTCTTATTGACTAGAATGCGGTAGCTTTTGCGAGTTTGTTCATTCATTCTTGTGTCCAGTCCTACCCTGGGCAAACATTTTTAAAGCCTTTCAGTGTCAAACTCCAGGATTGTGGAGGTGGAGCTGACCTTTGTGGACCATGTCAGGAGAGGCAGTTGCGGTGCAGGGCGTGGGAGAGAAGGGTTTTTTCCAGTGTGCTGTGGGTGTTGGAGTGGCTAGGAAGTACTGCCGAGTTCTGGGGAAAGTGTGCAGACATCAGGGGAAGCCCTCTTGGGCACAAGGCCTGTGCTTATCTTGCTTATTTGGAAGTCTGTAGGCTTTCCTTAGTTTATAAATGCCTGACCTAGGACCATACCTGACCCGAGGTGGCCAAATGCAGGTCCTGCTGTGTGGAGTTGGGGGAAGGTTACCACCCTTCTGTGAATGAACACTCGACGTCCTTGGAGGTACATAGTGTGATTTTCATTTTGGTGGCCATTAAACTGGATAAGTAGGAGCGTCTTGGAAAATTACCTGTTAGAAAGTAAAAACCTTCAGAATTCAGACACCTGTGCCATGATTTTTTTTTCTTTCCATTAACTGTGCCCATGTGTACCCATGGCTTGAAGTGGGATATGCAGAATTGGACATAGTTACTAAGAGAATGTATTTGAAATGTTTTCACTGAATAATATTTCTTGAAATTCTGGTGGTTGATGATTGCATATACTATGTTGAAAATATCCAATGCAAATGTGAGTTTGTTATTGAGAAGAAAATATTAAGTAGGGTCTGATTTTGAATATCATATTCTTGGTGAGATCTAATTTTTTTTTTTTTGGCATTGCATGTGCTAGACAACCACTATGTTATACCCCTAGCTTTTGAAATCATTAGAATATTCCTGAAAATAAAGATAAGAGTAAAGAAGAAAGTAAAAATATCATATAGCAGTAAGTATTTCATTAAAAGATTTAAAAAGAGAAGGGCAGAAGTGTATATATTTTTTGGAAGGGGAATAGGGTCTTACTGTATAGTCCAGTCTGGCCTTGAACTCACTGTGCAGCCCAGGCTGGTCTCAAACTCTCCCATCCTCCTGCCTCAGCCTGCTGGGATTACAGGCGTGTACCGGTATCCCTGGCTGTGAACCTAGTTTGTTTGTGGTTTTTGTTTTTTTGAGTTGTGGGTCTTGCTTTGTAGTTCATGCTCTCCTTTGTAGTTCAGTCTCCCAAGTGCTGAGATTACAGGTAAGTGCCACGACATCTGGCCTACCTACTTTTTTTAGAGCAGAGAAAGGAAAAGCCTTCCCCTGCCAAACCTTTAGCCTTAGAGTTGGCTGGTCAGTGGCCACCTGCTGTTCTCCCATGACGTGGATACACTGTCCTTGACCTTTTTTTTTTTTGGTACTGGGAATCGAACTCGGGACCTCCTGCTTGCCAGGCAGGCACAGTTCCACTGAGCTATACCCCTGGCTCCTGTCCTTGACCTTTTAACTCACTCTCTTACAGCGAGGAGCTGGATGAGCTGCACTACCAGGACACCGACTCAGAAGTGCTGGAGCAGAGGGACAGCAAGTGTAAGGTCAAATGGACGCACGAGGAGGTGAGTGGCACAGCAGCACCTTCAGACTGGGGAAGAGAGGGCTGATGGGAGCTGAGAGCTGGCCAGAGAGCTGAGCTGGGGGTGTCCGCCTGATGTCCTCACTGCCAGGGCAAAGAGGAACAGCCAGTGAAAGACAGATGGGTCTTCTGCTTCTCCGCCTAACCTCTTCTCAGGTCCCCTTCCCTCAGAGGGACTCAGAGGCCTGCGGACAGGGTGGGGAGGGGGTGTGTCAGCAGTAGCTGCTGTGTTCCTGAGTGGTGGACATATTCTGCAGCTTGGATGTTGATTATGCTTTTTGCTTTTCATCTTAGTCTGTTTGCTGCTCTTATAACCTAATACCAAAGACTAGGAAATTTATGAAGAATAAAGTTTAGAGCTGGTGTGGTGCATACCTGTAATCCCAGCACTCAGAAGGTTGAGACAGGAGGATTGTTGTGAGTTTGAGGCCAGCCGGGGGCTACAAAGTGAGCTCAAGGCCAGCCTGAAATGTATAGCAGGACTCTGTCTCAGAAGTCCGAAAAAAAAAAAAAGTTTATTCAACTCACTGTTCCGGAGGCTCAGATGTTCAAGTTTGAGGTGGGGGGCTGCGGATAATCAAGGTCTTCTTGCTGGTGGGGACTCTGGATGTTCTGAGGCAGCATAGGATAACACATAGTGAGAGGGGCATGAGTGAGAGACATCTACAGCGGCTTTAAGGACAGACCCATTCTTAAGAAACCAGCCCCTGAATCCGTGCATGGACTAATCCACTTACAAAAGCAGAGCCCTCGTGGCCTAATCACTTCAAGATTCCATTTGGTTAGACTTTGGGTGGGGGGCAGTACTGGGGAATGAACCTAGTGCCTTTGCACTGAGCTACATCCCCAGGCCTTTTTTAATGTGAGAGGGTCTCATTGAGTTGCTCAGGCTGGGGTTGAATTTATAATCCTCCTATCTGTGCCACCCAGAGTGCTGGGATTAGGTTTTGGCTTTTGAGACTTGCTGTGTAGCCTAGTCTGGCCTTGAAGCTCTCCATCCTCCAGCCTCAGCTTCCCGAATGCTGGAGTTACCGTTCCGAGCCAGTATACCTGGCTGGTCACAGCTGTTAATACCTCACAATGGGGATTAAATTTCCATGTGAGTTTTGGTGGGAACATTTGAACCTGAGCATTCTTAGACTGCTAGGAGGTTCAGACAAATCTGCAACCCCCTCTTCATTTTATTTTTTGAGACAGGGTCTTGCTATGTAATTCAGGCTGGCCTTAAATTCACTATGTAGCCCAGGCTGTCCTCAAACTCACAGCAATCCTCCTGTTTCAGCCTCCCAAGTGTCGGGATTACAGGTGTGTGCCGTCATGCTTGGCCCCTCTTCCTTTTTTGAAAAAATGGTTGAATCTAGTGACATCAAGCTCTGACTTGGTTTTTTGCTAGCTACATATTGTTTTATTTATTTATTTATTTTTGCAGTACTGGGGATTAAGCCTAAAGAGTATAGAGCTATATCGCTAGCCCTTACTTTTTCCCCTGGCTCTTTTTAAAAATTAATTTTTCCTGCGGTACTGGGGATTGAACTCAAGAGTCTTTGAACTGATCTATAACTCCCAGCCCTTATTTTATATTGATTTTTTATATATATATGTTTCTGTTTGTTTGTTTTTATGCTTTTTATTTTTTTGAAACAGGGTCTCCCTATAGAGTTTAGGCTGGCCTTAGACTCACTGTGTAGCCCAGGCTGGCCTGGAATTTACGATGACCCTCCCACCCTCAGGCTCCCCAGTGCTGGGATTCCAGGCATGCACTGCCACACCCCATGCCTAGTAGTTTTTGTGAATATGTATTTTCATTTTGCTTAGGAAGATTCTTAGGTATGGTCATGGAATGGGTTATCATTTTATAGAAATTCTGTTCCCTTCATCTCTTTTCTTTCCTTCCTCTTTTTTTTGTGTTATACATTAGACCCAGGACCTCATACATGCTGACCACATACTCTACCAGTGAGCTACACCCCCAGCCAGACCTTTTCTTTAATTGGATTTTCATTTGAGACTCCTACTGGCATTATATTTTTATTCCACCTCTTTTTCCTTGATGTGTTTAGTTTTAGTCTGTTACTTCCTTTTTCTTTTCTTTTTTTTTTGTCTTTTTGAGACAGGCTGTGGATATGCACTTCAGGCTGGCCTTGCTGGTCTTGAACTCACAATGATCCTCCTGCCTCAGCCTCCCAAGTGCTGGGATTATAGGTGTGACACCCAGCTTAGTCTGTTATTTTCTTCATTTAAAGCTTGCTGTTTGAGCTGGTTGCAGTAGAGTATGCTTGTAGTTCTAGCTACTTGAGACTGAGAATTCAAGGCTAATTTAAGCAACAGAGTGAGATCTCATTTTTTTTTTTTTTTCCCGGTACCGGGAACAGAACTCACGACCTTGCGCTTGCCAGGCAGGCGCTTTGCCACTGAGCTAAATCCCCAGCCCCTTGTTTTTTTCTTTTTGAGACATGGTTTCACTATACAGTTAAGTCTGGCCTTTAACTCTCGGCAGTTCTCCTGCCTCAGCCTCCCAAGTGCTGCGATTACACGAGTGTGCTACCATGCTGGGCTATTGCCAGTTCTTTTTTTTTTTTGGTATCGGGAATTGAACTGAGGACCTTGCACTTGCTATGCAGGTGCTTGTGCCACTGAGCTATATCCCCAGCTCCCCAGCTCTTTTTATTTTTTTATTTTTTATTTTTGTACCGGGAATTGAACTCGGGACTTTATGCTTGCTAGGCAGGCACTGTGCCGCTGAGCTATATCTTCAAGCCCAGCTCTTTTAAAATTCTGAGACAAGGTCTTGCTTAGTCACTAAATATCCAGGCTGGACTCAAAGTTATCATCTTCTTGCCTCAAGCCTGGTGGAGTGCTGGGATTACAGGCATGTGCCACCGTGCCCAGCTCTATCTCTTTATTGTTTTAAAAATTTTTGTTACCATTTTTGGAGGTGCTGGACATGGGAGGTTGGTAAAGGCTGGGAGGGACAGAACGGAACCTGGCTTCAGGGAAGCCCCTCTGGTGTGAGGGATGGAGAAGAGCTTTCAGGTGGAGAGACCTGTGCAGAGGGACTAGAGAGAGTGCGGCCAGAACACGTCACATTGAATGGACCCGCTTAGCCTTTTCTTTCTTTCTTTCTTTTTTTTTGTCTTTTTGAGACAGGGTCTTGCTATGCAGTTCAGGCTGGCCTTCAGCTCACTTTGTAGCCCAGGCTGGTCTTGAACTCACAACAATCCTCCTGCCTCAGCCTCTTGAGTGCTGGGATTACAGGCGTGCGCCACCATGCCCAGCTCCACTTAGCCTTTTCAGGTGTATAGTTCAGTAGCGTTAAGTGTTTGACCGCTGTTGCACAATAAACCTCTAGATTTTTTCACCTTTGGGAATCGACACTATCACCATTAAGTGCTCATTCCCTCATTTCTTCTTGCCAAGCCTTGGCAGCCGCATTTGTACTTTCTGTTTCTGCCCTGTAACTGCTTCATCTGAGAGAGTCGCTTCCCATTGGTCTTTCTGTCCACATCACCCGCTTTTCCTTTCCTGGGCCCTTCTCTCCGCCAAACTGCACTCCCCTGCTCGCTTTCCTCCACCTCCAGCCACTCTGGCTCACCCAGAGACTGCAGGTTGGCCTCCCTGGATGCTGAATTTCCAAATCCTCATCTTGAGCTCAAAAGCCACTTCCTCCAGAAAACGTTCCCTGGCCTCGCAGGCACTCATTTGTCCTTTTTTTCAAACTTTTTTTTTGCTTTTATTTTTATTTAAAAAAATTTTTTTTTCTGGTACCAGGAATTGAACTCACGACCTTGTGCTTGCTTGCCAGGCAGGCACTGTGGCGCTGAGCTCATTTGTCCTTCAGGGCCAGCTCGCTTCGCTTGGCGTACTGTTTTCAGTGTCACCCATCTTGGCAAAGACTAATATTTCATTGTGTGCATAATACCATAGTTTTTGCCTGTAGGCCGTGTAGTATGTTAAATTTCAAAACAATCACTTTTAAGGTTTTTACCGTGGTTAGTACAAACCTTTGAGGAGCGTTTGGAGGTCTCTACAGTGCTGTTGCCTTTACCATTCAATCTCGTGCAACTCTCCGTCTGTGCGCAAAGTGTCGTGGAGCCCAAGGATGTGGAATTGCCTGAGACATTCTCCAAACAAATTTCCTTGGCTATTTGAGCCACCACTGTGTTCTGCTTCTTCCTCTGGAAGTGTTCCTGCAGTGTTACCACTTTCGTAAGGATGCATGGACCCCGCCTCAGCGCACACCTTCTTATGTGTGACCTTTTTCGCTCCTGGTGACACTGAGATTCATGTTATGTGAATCACTGGTTCATTTTCAGGAGACTTTGGATAGGTTGTATTTTCTTCTGACTCTTCCCATGCTGCAGCAGCTGAAGGGTGCTTCTTACAAGCACACTGCACCTTAGCTAACTGCCAGATGTGTCAGTGGCTTGGTGGAGAGTCCTGAATCAATCCTACCCATGGTCTAACCCCGCTGTCTCCAAAATCATCCTTCCTCTTCTCTCCCTCTCCCTGCATTCTGGCTCTACTGCATTTCTTTTGCACCTGTCCCTTAAATAAGCAATCAGCATATCCCTAGGCGTGGAGTGGCTTTACTTCTGTTTATAGGAGCATTGGATGAGCAACTGCCTCTTTCCCTAGTATAAGCCGTATGAATGCTGGGCAGGTATGTTGCTGCCAGCTTCTGTGACTATCACCTGGCACGTAGTAGGTGCTTCCTTCATGACAGAATGGGTGAACAAGGCTCTGTTGAGGGTAGCTCTGAGGCTCCCTGCACACATGAGCCGAGTCCTCTGTCTTTCTGGCGTTGGCAGGACGAGCAACTGAGGGCCTTGGTGAAGCAGTTTGGACAGCAAGACTGGAAGTTCCTGGCCAGCCATTTTCCTGTGAGTATGGCCCCTCTGTGGCTTCTCCCCCAGGGACCAGGGTCTGGGTGACCAGTCTGTTCCTGGGACAGACGTTCTGCTGAGGAAGAAAAGGGAATTCCTTACCAGCTCCCCTAGAACAAAAAGACCACTGTAGGACCTTTCTTCCAAAACTGGAATTTGAGGCACTCTGTCAGAAGCATCTTTACACAGCATGCCTGGTGGCCTAAGGCCCAGAGACACTTGTGTCTGAGTGTGATCATTGACACATTTGCATTTCTTCCTGTGAGTCAGGAGGGAATAGGTACAGTACTCAGTTTCTTGACAGTGAGACTGAAACTAAGGGGAAAGCGATACTTAAAGCAGGCTTCCTGGTGAGGACTCTGCAGGTCTGGTCATCACATCTGAGCATTTAGAGTGTCCTGAGGGTGGGTTGTCCCCACTGGCGCCCCTTACCCCTAGACTGCAGGTGTCTGGGAGTGGGGAGTGTTGAGGAGCTACCATCTGGTTCTCTGAATCACCAGCTCTCTACTTTCTTTCCTCATCTCTGTCCTTCACGTAATCTGAACCCTTCACGGAAGAAAAATGCTCTCCCAGAAGAAAGCAGGGATCCCTGACATGCCCCAGGGGGCTTTGTAGAGTTCAAGATGGTGGCCCTCTGTGATTGGGTGGTAGAGGTGACTTTCCACCAGGGCCTGAGTTTGTCCTTCGTAGTAAATGAACTCATCCATAGTCTGGTATCAGGTGTTGTGGGTGCTTGGGAGAGGCCGTGCCCACCTAAGGCGTGCTTGGCACCAGGCCGCCAAGCCCAATGCTCAACCAGAGCACAGTCTTGTGGTCCCAGAAGGTTTCCTGTTTTATTCCCAGAACCGCACAGACCAGCAATGCCAGTACCGGTGGCTGAGGGTTTTGAATCCAGACCTTGTCAAGGGTCCATGGACCAAAGAGGAAGACCAGAAGGTAACTGCAGATGGCGGCTGTAACATGCATGGCGGCCTCCCCCTCCATGGGGTCAGGCATGGAGAGGCTGTCCTTCTTGCTGAGCTGAGTGCTTTGTGTAACAGCCTAATAACCGCACCTGGGTCTAGCCTTGAATCTGTTTCCAGGGTTCCCTGATTCTCATCTGCACTCTGAGGGCTGTTCTCTTTCTGATCCATAAAGGGAAAATGTGAATAGTGTCTACCACCCGGAGTGCAGTACCTAACAGGCTAGCTCAGCTGCTACTCACCCTGTTTGTCTTTTGCCTTTTTGAGATAGGGTCTCACCAGTTCAGGCTGGCCTTG